TCAAAGAACTGTTCTCATTTTTTTAGTGTTGTAACAGAAGGGGTAAAAGAAAAATCTTCATGGTCAAGGTAATTAATATCTCTATAGTAGAGTGAGGGTGAATAAAAACTAGTTCTTCTTCTATCACTATTATAAGAGTTTGAGTATCTGCTTCTTTCTTTAGAATTTTTTCTTTCTCTAGAAGAATTTCAATAGTAAGATCTGTTATAACTTCAAGATCGAGATCTTTGGTTGCATCTATCATTTCTTCTATAGTTATCTCTTTGGTTAGATTGTTGTTCAGCTCATCTGGTTCTATATTCAGTAATAAAATATCCTATACATCCACAGTAGTGGCAGCAATATGAATCTTTGGCTGAAGTCCTGTTAGGGTTAGATGTAGCTGCATAGTTAGCAGATTGAGGTTGGAATGGTTGTTGTTGCTGTGCCAAGTTGATACTAAGTTTGGCAATCTAGTTTGTTAGTTGTTTGATAGCTTGGTCTGTTTTTGTAGTAGTGTTGGCAACTATTACATGTTCAGTTTCTCATTGTTTTGCAGTAATAATAGCAGCATTTAGGTTAGCAGGTTCATTAGCTTGCACATTGATAGAAAATTCAGAATGTAGTCTTTGAATAAATAATTGTTTGGTGAAGTCAGTAGAGAAGGCATCACCAAGATCAACTTATCTTTTTAATTGTCTAAAACAATTAACATAGGCATCTACTATGTTTGGGTCTTGTTTGATGTTAAAAAGCTGTTTTTGCCAAATAGCTTTTTGTTTAGATATAAAGAAGTGAAGTCTAAAGAGATATTTAAAGCTTCTGTTTTGGTTGGCATTATTATCAAAAGCATTTGGAGCAGAGTTAAAACTTTGTCACCAAACTAATGCAATTTCTTTTAAGTATACAAGAGTTAGTTCCAATTTTTGAGCAGCATTTTACTTGTTAGTAGTAGCAGCTCTTCAAAAATTTTTAAGCCATTGTTCTAGGTTTTGGGTTCCATTATTATAAAAAAAATCAGCCTTTATAAAAGCTTTTTTACTTCTATTTAGGACATTAGTAAGATCAGCTATAGCTTGTGCAGCATCTTGTAAAGCCTGTTGTATTATATTGTCAAGTAGGTAAAAAAGGTTATCAAGAATAGATAAAAGTAGAGAAAGAAGTTGAGGTTGAGGTTAAGGTTGAATAACAATAGGTTGAAATTGAACAGTGATAGGTTAAGGTTGAACAGTAATAGGTTGAGGTTGAGGTAAAGAAGAAGGGCTACCTTCGAAAGTATGTTAAGGTGAATTAGTAGAAGTGTGATCTAGGCTAGAGGTTTCTGTAAAGTTTACAAAGGCAGTAATATATTCTTCTGTTTCTAAATTGTCAGTGGGTAGTAGAGAGATCTGTGGAGTCCAATCAGGTATGTAATAACTTTCAGAAAGTTCAGTAGGTGTAACTAATTTACTATATGGAGCTAAGCTATCTGCTAGGTTATGTAAGAAGAGAATATTATTGGTAAAAGTAATATCAGTGGTAGATATTAAATATAATATAAATATTATATTTAGTATCATTTTTAATTTTTATAGATAAAAAATTGGTATCATTGAATGTTGTATTAAAATGTAAAGTTATCTGAATAGGTTTGAGATTAAGATTTTTAGAAAATTTGATATAATTAATAGTTTTGTATTTGGAAGTGTTTAGAGATAGAATATGGTGATAAAAAGTAGTATGAGTAAAATATTTTTTTGTAATTAAGTTTAGTAAAAAGAACAGTAATAAAGTTAGTTAAAATATCTCTAAGTATAAGTAAAAGATAATTATATGATATATTGGTATATTGAATATTTGATATATTTTGATAACTAAATTCAATTAAGAATTGTGGTTTTTGTAAGATTATATTATTTAAAAGTTCATTAAAGTTAATTTTAGTGTTTTGTTAATTAGTTGTTTTATTTTTTTAAATTGACTTAGATAGAAGTTTTAAAGAAATAGTTTAATAAAATTAAGAACTTGTAAACTAAATAATATAGAAAATTGTACTTGATCTTGATTTTTAGTATTGATAGAATAAGTTTAAAACCAGTCAAATAGGTTTTTAATAGTATTAGTATTAACTTATATAATTAAATAATAAGGAAACCTTTATTGAAACATGGTATTTCTTAGATGTTTGTTAATTTTTCTTTATCAAAATAGATAAATTAAATTTAATATTTTCAGAATATATGTGATTTTTTATAAAAAATAAATTTAATTAAGATATTAGAAGAGGTTTTCTTAGTAAAATATAAAGATATTATAGATTTTATATAAAGTGAATTTTAGAGTTATTTATATTATAAGACTTATTTTCTTAGTAGTTTTAAAGCTATTTGCTTAAAACTTCAGAAATATATGTAGTTTAATATCAGAAATAAGTTTACTTAGAATACCAAGTATAATATACTTAGTTAAATATAGAGATACTAGCAGATTATATTTGCCAATTTGTAAAAATAAAAGAAGAATATATTAATATTAAATTAGAATCAGGTGATATATGAGAGAAGTGATAGAGAGAATATGATAGAGAGAGTGTGATATAGAGTATAATTGTTAGGTATTGTGATAGAAAAAAGATATTTGAAATAATATTGTTAACATTAAGAGTTTAACACATTTTTGACTATAACTTTTGATGTACCAAACCAATTTGGATAAAACAACCACCATTGGATTTAGTTCACTAAGATGATTCTAATGAGCACAAAATCATATTATTCTGATCACGTGATCATGAGATCAGGATCATGAGATCGGGATGATTTTGATGAAAACAATAATTATAATACATGTACTTGATTCTGATTGGCTCAAATTACTGTGCTGGAAATCTAGTATTTCTATCATTTTTATCATTTCTATCATTTCTATCATTTCTAGTAGATCTATCATTTCTATTAGATCTATCATTTCTACCAGATCTATTAGTTCTATTATATCTATCATTTCTATTATATCTACTATATCTATTATATATATTATATCTATTATATCTATTAGTTCTTATTACTATAAATAGTATTTATTAGCAATAGAGTAGTCTTTATTGTAATTATTTATACATATAAAATATCTATAAAAGGACTACTTTTTGACCCTTCAAGAAAGTTAAATGTCTTTATATACTTTAATAGAAAGTGTCTTCATATATTTCAATAATAAATAAACTGAATACAATATTTAGTATCTTCATATACTATCTATTGTTGCCTCTGTCTTAAAATCCCAAATTATTCTGTATTTTGTTAAGTTTTGTGTAGACTTTGTATAGAATCTGTCAAGTTATAGTTATCATACTATATTTGAGCAGCATCTGTTATTACTGTGATTAAAGAAAAAACTACAGGTTAACAACTGTTTACAAAAAAAATAAAAGTTGATTTTGTTTAAAGATCAAGAATACTTTCTGCAAGACAGTTACCAAAACCAGAAACTTCAGTTTTATTGGACAATATGGCTAAAGGTACTTATATGAATAGTAATTAAAATATGGATAGAAACTTAGAGAACTGACTTATAATCAAGATATAATTTGATACTCTAACCAAAACCTTAAGAGAACATGTTTAAGAAACTAGACATAAGAAATTAGTAGAGCCTTTAAGAGCTTACTAAGATACTAGCAAGCCCATTACAATTAATAAAACAAGTAACTAGATAGATATGCAAACAATAATAACAAACAAACAGTGTTTTCAGAAAGATGCTAAAAACAATTGTACTAATTCTTTGGAACTTTTGTTGGTATTAAAATTCAGTTGCTTGAGAAAAGTTATAGTAGTTTTTGATGATAAAGTAAATTTGATAATTACACATATTGCAAAAGCATTAAATGATAAGACTTGGCCACAACATAAATTTGAAAAGTTGATAGATCAGCATGAATATGATACATTATATCAAATCAAAAAGATATTAGACCTTGCAATAAAATTTCAATATGTGATAGACATTACAAATTATATCTCAATTGTATATAATACAATTACAGAAAAGATGTATACCTTATGTGTAGTTGAGAGTTTATTTGGGATATAGCTAAGTTCTCAAGATAAATTGTTAAAAGAGAAAGAATAGTAATTAAAAAATAAAAATATTGGTAAAGACAAAGAAAATAAGCAGAAAACAACTAGCAATTTTGCTAAAACCTCTGACATCCCATTTGAAAAAATGAGCTACCCAAATAGATATCTAAATAACTCAACAGTAAGCTATCAAAGCAACTATCAAAAACTTTTTCAGAATCATGGGCTGTTTTTTTGATCTAATTATTAATTTCAAAACTAAGCCTTAAATCCATCAAATAAGTGCTATATCTGTAGTAGCACAAACCATTTGCCAAAGCATGCTCCTCAGACTCTTACAAAAATTCAAGCCACCAGCTAAAAAGAAATGCTAACTATCAATTAAAGGGTTATACAACCTATAGAAATAGGTATCCTAGCCTCAATAAGGAAAATAGATGCAATTAACTACACTCAGGCCCAACTATTAATATCAGTTGTAGGGTAATTACACTTACAAGAACATATAAATTATTGGAAACAGATAATTCAAGCACCCAAGTTAGTTTTAGCATAGTTAAAAAATGGCATTTCACTATACTCAAAATGGCTATTAGCCTTAATATTACAATTAGACCTATCTCAATACATATTAATAATGTATCAGAAAATACAGTTAAAATTGGAAATAAAAAGATTGTTAAAGATAGAAGCAATAGCATTTGTTTCAAATTCATTAAACTATTTATCAGAACTCTCAAAGTAAGCCTAATATTTTAAGTTTTCAAAACTGGCATCTTATAACTGATTTTAAATACTTAAACAAAACTCTTTTAGTAAAATTATTTCAATATGAAGGGTTTGGTGTCTTATTACAAATAATAGTAAAAAATTGTTAGGTTGTAGTTCTGGATCTAAAAGAGGGCTACTACTATTTATTAATAGATTAGAATTCACAGAGGCTATTAAGATTCAAAATGGTTATAAATTGGTACTATTATTGAGTCTACTATTTGGTTTAAGTTTGGCAATATAGTCTTTTACAAAAGTAATAAAGCCACTAATAGGCTACTAAAGAGCATTGGAAATTTTTGTAAAAACTATTTAGATGATATATAGGTTGCCCACCTATGCAAGAAAACCTTGTTGTAAATAAAAAAATCGAAAATATTTTAGAACTTAAAAAATTGTAAATTTATTTTGTCAAGAAAGACTATTTAGAACTAACACAACAGTCCAAATTATGTGATCTGATCTTAAATACAGTAACAAAGTAGGTTGTAATCCTGAAATCAAGAATAGTAACTATCACAACAGCCTTTCTGAAACTTCTATTAACAAATTCTCTAACAACATGACATCTATTATCAGTGGTAGGACAAATAATAAGTTTAAACCAAGCTTTTGCATATATAAAAACATGTTGCATGAAGTTTTACTTAATTATCAATGCAAAAAATTAAAAAGTGTAAGAATAGAACAAAGCTGTAAAGTCAATATAACAAGCTGTTGCAGTTATAAAATAGATAAAAGAAACATAAAGTTAAAAAACAGCTACTCTATCTAGATACTTTACAAATAATTTTGGTCTATATAAATACTTTAACAACAAGTTGGTTAGCAACCTTGAACAAATTGCAGGCATTTAGAAATTTGAAGCATTACTATAGGCACACAGATATTGTGCAACTTGAATCAACAGCAGTTCTACTGGGTCTCAAATCATTTGCTTATCATATTGTACATTATTTGATCACAATGTATATAAACAATCATATTGCTTAAAAAACAGTAAAGTTAAGTGAAAAACAGCTATGACAAAAAGAGATAATATGTCAAATGTAGGACTTTTGCAATAAACATAATATACAGATTTACTATTTCCTATGGGTGTCTTTAGAAATAAACCCAGCAGACAACTTAACCTGTCTTTTTAATAAGTCTTACTAGGAAGTAGACTAGAATGTATTTATCTAATTCAATGTTAGATGGTGACCTTTTACAGTAAACAGAATGGCAAGTTATCAAATAAAAAAAGTAAAATACTTCAATAGTTGCTTCTTTTGCCTGAAGATGAAGACAAAAAACTGCTTTACCTAGGATTGAAGTTATGAAAACAACTATATATGCCTTTATTGAGTTTAATTTAAAAAGTAGTCAAATATAGAATTCAGTTTAGACAAAAGTAGTCATAATAATACCAATGTGGCTATTAGCCACATAGTGGCAAATTTTTCTATAAAAGCAAACCAAGATAATAGACTTTTCATTAACAATACAGTGTTTTCTGCCAAACCTAAAGAGCAATATATCATCTGAACTATTAAAAAACCTGCATTAAAATTTCAGACAATAAAAGCCTGTTTTTAGAGAACTTATTTGTAAAAGCACATAAGGCAATAGCACCTACATCAAGGTATTAAAAATAATTTACATAGTTGTAGGATAAGTTCTTGTCTTTTTGTATGCATCATAACTAAGTTCATGTTCTGCTTAGCCTAACATGCTATTAATGTTCTTGGTTTGGCAGAACCTGTTGCCAAAGCCTTTCAAACCAAGCTTGTATATTGTAGTAATTGAACATTATTATTATATAAATAGGTTAGTAAACTCTATTCTAAACTTTAATATGCAATGTTTTGCTCAGAACTTGATAAAATGTTCAGCAATAAACAAGGAAGCAGTATGGCCACAGGACCCTTTTCTGGTAAAAGCCTTGCATAACTATATAAATAACCCATCTCTAAATGCCACTGAGTTAATTTGAAAACATGACTGCACTATGATTGCTTTTGCCCTTCATGCAATGAGAAGACCTACTAATATTTGTAACCTTTATATAGCTAATATTAAGATAGATATAGGGTTTTCTGAATTAGAATTAATAGGTTGAAAACTGACCAATTTGCAAAGAGTAAATTTATCATAGTAGACTCTACTAATTCATCATATTGTCCTGTAAGGTTAGTTCATAAGTATTTAAAAGTAAGAAAAAAAGTTGTTGGTCAGAACCTGTTATTTATAAATGCATTAAATAAATGCATAACAACTAGAACTATAAATTTAGCTTTTAAGAGAATGCACATTATGCTAAAAGGAAGTGAGATATTTAGGCCACAGTCTGTATATTAGTGAAGAAACTGAAGCTATGAAGCAGAATTAAAAATACTACAGATTATGAGTATTGGAGGTTGGCTGTTACAATTAGTTATACATTATCTTAGTTCTTTTTAATAGTACTTCAGAATATATTAGCAAGAATAGATTTTTTTAAAAAAACAAAAAAAAAAAAGAAATAAAAAAGAAAAAAATAATTATCATACTGCAAAGAAATAAAAAATAAAAAATAAAATTAAATAAGTAATATAAGAATGACTACTGTAAATGCATATATAACTACCTAATTTTCTTTTTTTTTGCATAATATACATTTTTTATGTTAATAAAAATTTAAATAAGAATAATAACTGATATATGATGTTAGTTATGCTCTTGTAATTATTATAAGAATTATACTAGTTGGCCAAAAATATGAAATGTGGAACCAGGATTGCTATTTAAAAGTTAATAATAAAATTAAAAATGGCAGTACTCTTTTTCTTCACTGCCTAACCTGGTTCTGACTCTTTTGAGCCTTCCTATTAGTACCAAAAAAAAAAAATAAAAAAAAAAACAAAAAAAATAAAAAAAGAAAAACCAAAAAAAGGAAGTTGAAAAAGAAAATTTTTTATATGAAGCTGAAAAATAAGTTGCTTGAGAACAGGCTTTTTGACTTAAAATAACCTTGCTTGGTCACTTGCTTCTTAACTTTTTATGAATTAAATTGTGTAAAAAAAAAAAAAATGTGAAAAAATGAAGTAAGAAAGAGGAAACAATATACTGCTTATAATAATAATGTACTGTACTCTGTATAGGCCATTTCTCTTTTAATTGTGACATGTTATGCATATTACTTTAAACAAATCAATTTAGGTCAGGTTATAAGCCAACCTGAACCTAATCTAAAACTTTGGATCAGGTCAGGTTGAAAACTTTTAGGTTAGAGCTTCAACCTGACCTGAATCTGACCTAAATCAAACCTGATCTAAACTGATCTGAAATTTTAAGGCTAATATATTTAAATTTTTTAAAAAACAAATTAAGTTATCTATTTTGCTCTTAAAATTCATGTAATAATAATGACTATTGAAGTTGGCTATTAAAGTTGGCTATTGAAGTTGGCTATTGAAGTTGGCTATTGAAGTTGGCTATTGAAGTTGGTGAATTAAATTCAAACTTAATTTTTTTATAACTACAGTAAAAATTATTTATTACATACTAGAATAAATAAAATTTTTATTTTTATCCTAAGATTCATAGAATTATAGCTGTTCTTATAAATACTAAAACAATTAATAAAAATTAATTGGCTAAATTTAATAAGTTTTTGAATTCAGTATTATTGAATTACTGTAATGCTGAAAATTCAATTCTGTTAATACTGAATCCAAACACCTATCAAATTCAGCAGATTAAATTTTTATCTGTTGTTTCAAAATTTATAAAAACAGCTATAAAAAAAAATTATTAATTTGGCCTTACAAAATTTTATAGCAGATTCTTAATTTTGATGGGCTAAGAGTAATAAGCAAAATATTTAGTCAGAATTACTCAGAATTTTATTATTGTTGTTTCTGGACAAATTTTATTATAATGTGAAATTATTTTTCAAAATTTTTATTTTTGTAATAAAAAAATCAATATTACAATTAGGAATTAGTAAATTATATAATGTGGGTCAAAATTTTGTAATCTGTGGTCATTGACCAATAAAAATCAAAGATCTGCTATAACAATTTTGTTTAAAGAAATCTGATTGGTGGTTTTATTTAAACTATTATTTAAGAATACTTATATAGTTGCTATTATAAGCATATGTACTTGCTATTAAAATTCTAAAAAGACATATTAAATGCTTATTTTGAGTATCTCTAATTTGGATAATTTCAGGTTGGGTCAGATTAGGTTTGGTTTGAGTTAATGTTCAACTTGAAACTAATTTGAACCTAACTCAATTTTTAGATCAGATTTTTTAACCTGAATCTGACCTAATTCAAAATTTCATATAGGTTTTCAGATTAACCTGACCCAATTCAGAGCACTAGTTATGCACATGTTCAATTTTCTATAGTCTTTGTCACATAACTTTTAAGTAACATTTTACAATATTATAGATTCTTTAATATGTAAATTTACCAGAAATAGTGTACTATATACATAGAGTATAGTTTACAAGAGAATGAAATGATATGTGCAATTCTTGATATATAATTTGGTGATCTGTCATTGTGACTTTTGGTAATACTCCAAACTTTATTTTAACAGGTATGTAATACTCTGTATACTTATTTGATTCACATAGATTATTTATTATTTAATGTTTAATATTTGTTTTTTGTATATATATGCAACCTTGCATGTTTATTATCTGATTTTATTTAATATATAGAAAAAAAGAGCTTACAAATAAGCATGTACACCTATAAAATAGAATATGTGTTAGCAAATATATTAATAATGTAATTTTTAAGCATAAAATTAGTAAGTTAATATGATTTTTAACTTCTTGATGCTAAATATTTAATATTTTACATTTTTATTAATAGATTTTTTAATAGGCTAATAAGATAATATTTGATATATAATTGAATAAATTTATTAACCATCTTATACTGTACAATAAATTTAGTTTCCTATTGTGAAAACTTATTATTTTTTTTATTGCAACTTTTGTAATATGTTTAGTACATAACTTATTTTTTTCTGTTTTATCACACCTCTATCTAAATTACTTATTTTGGGTTATTTGTATTACTGTAACTAGAATTATTTTTGTTTGTAAACTATTAATTTAGTTTTTGTATGATGATTTATTATATTAATCTTTTAAAATTTTAGTTCTATTATATCAAAATTTCTTATCTTCTTGTTAATTTAATTGAGAATACCTGCTATTTATTAATGTAGCTTTGGTTCTTTATATGTACTGTATAATTCTTAACTTGATTTTTTCTTATTTAATTTATGCACTTAGCTTTATTGTCTATTTTTGCAGAGTAGTAAGTATTTTTTTGGATTAGAGTCTATATATTTCTTAGCTAATTCAATGTAACATTCTAAAGTTTCAGATGCAAATTCTAGTTGTAATTCAAAACAAATCTTTATTACTAAATTATTATTAAATTTATAATTATTAAAAACTTTTTCTCTCATTAAGATTTCTTATATAATTATATCAAATAAATAGATATCTGCTGCTTGTGTAGATGGTTAACTGATAAACTTCTGGTAAAATATAAGGTAAAATTCCAACAATTTTAGTATTATTTTTCAGCAAGTGATATAAGATCTAAGTTTATAATATACAATATGCATTATTTAAATCATTTTGTAAGATGTTACTATTATGCAAATCTTTATAAATATATTCTTATAAATAAATAGCTTCAAGATCAGATATTATACAACTTAATAAATTTAATTTCTTTTTTTATATCATTTGTGATATTTCATAAAAATTATTATATAAAGAGCCTATTATTGCATAATTCAAAATAAGAATGTAATTTTCTGAATTATCTTTCAATAGCCTATAGCATTTTAAGAATAATAGATTTTTATATCCAATCTCACAAAATGTTTTCAACTTTAAAAAAGAAAAAATTAATTATATAATTTAAAAATTAAATAAACTAATAAATTTATTTATCTCATCAAAATAACTCTGATCATGAATTATTTTAAATATGAATAAATAATTAATAGAGATCTACTTATAATAAATTCTGCAATTAGCCTAATAAATTGTCCTAAATTCACCTTTTCTAATCTCTTCAATATTTTTAAATTTATTATATAGGATCTATAATAATTGATACTTCTTATTATTAAATATTCTTTTAACATTATCATCTGTATAGAATAAGAGAATTTCTCTATTTATATTTAAATTAAATTAAAATATTAAATATAAATATAAATAAAAAAAATAACCTACAAGATTATTACCTTGAAACTTGCTTCTTTCTCTATTTTTAAATTATTAATATTACTTAATACTGTATTTTTTATATAAGAATTAAAAAATATGCTTAAATTTTAAACCAATATTTAGATTCCTTTAGGTTTTTTTTTATTCTGATTCTATTTCAATAACAATAACTAATGTGACTTATTTATTTAGCATTACTCATTTTGGCTGATTTTAGGTACAATTTAAAAGCTTTTTTCAAATTTATTTCAACTCCATCTTCATATCAATAACAATTTCCAACATTATTTGTTCTAATAGTGTTTCTCATCTCTGCAAATTTCTGATAATATTTAAATGTTTTATGTTTATTTATTTTAACTCCAATTCTATAATAATAAAAATAACCAAGCTTATTTATTTCTTTAACATGACCCATTTCTGCAGATTTTTAAATATAATTGAATGCTTTATTTTCATCTTTTTCAATCTTAATTCTATCTTTATAACAATATACAACATTATATATTTCTTTAACATACCCTATTTCTGTAGATTTTTGATAATAAATAAATGCCTTATGTTCATTCTTTTCTACTCCAACTCCATTTTTATAACAGTACCAAGTGCAAATACTCTATTAGCATTTCTCATCTCTGCAGAATTTTGATAATTTTTGAATTTCTTATATTCATTCTTTTTAACTTCAATATCTTTATTATAACAAATTCTAATATTAAATGTTCTATTAGCATTTTTAATCTCTGCAGATTTTTGATAATAAATAAATGCCTTTATAATAACAAATTCTAACATTAAATATTACATTAATAATTTTTTTTTTTTATTAAACTAGCCTCTTTTGGGCTTAGAGTTTTATTCAGTAAATTGGACATAGGGACTCATGGCTGAAGCTTCAAAGAAGTTACCTTACATTAGAGAGTACAACTAGTCACACATACACTTTTGGTGTCTAATTTAAGTAGTCTGCTAATAGTTCTATACTAGCTGCTATACCTGTAACCCAACTAGAAACATTGTCTATTTAAACTCTTTGTGCTGCAATCCTTATTATGTTATTAGATCATCTCCAATACAGCTGTTAATCAAAAAGGTCTAGATACTTTTACTCATTTCTCTTAGGACCCTATACCTTATTTTATGCAATGTATTCTCAGAAGCATCATTACTAAAACCTTCTGTGTTCTACATACAGCTGATCTAGTTTTATGTAACATACTATAGTTATCTAATACTTGCAATTACAGAAGGTTACCTGTTTAACCACTATGTTACACTATTTCTATTCTTGTAAAGTTTACCCAAACCCCAGTATCTATCTTTCTGACTTCTTCTCTTTATCCCTCTACTATCCAACTCAGAATCTGACAGACTCTCTAGACTCCCAATCCAGATAACCCAGTGTGGTATATCTTGGTATTCTTTTCCTCTAATGATTCTGGTGACCTGGTTGGTTATGTGCTCCTCTATACATCTTTCGATTTGGTTGCATATCTGTCTATTTCTTATTGGAGTTTTTTAGATTTCTATCAGTCCAATAACATCGTCAAAGGCTTGTGCTATTCTTTACTCAGGAATTTCCAAGTGAGCTTCTGTCTTCTCAGTTTTTTGGTCTTCTATATCTAGTGGCCTTATCATGGGTTTGCACTAAAGTTTTATGCAACACCAGTTATTAACATTCCTCTATGTATGTATAATATAACACTTTGCATAGATGTCCTGGTTCTTAATGATGAGTAGAACCCAATAGGTTGTATCCAAAATTACAAATACCTAAATCCAACCAATCGACAAGAGACAGTTTACCATAACACATGTTAATTACCAAATTTTGTTATAGGTAGGATTTGAACCTTAGACCTGCCACTTAAAGAATGACAACCCAATCATTACACTAGAATCACCATCCTCCATTAGCATTTTCTATCTCTGCAGATTTTTAATAATAAATAAAAATACCTTATATTTATCTTTTCAACACCTATTTATTTTGATAACTTTATATATTCTATAAGCATCACCCATCTTTGCAGATTCTTAATAATAAATAAATGTCTTATGCACATCTTTTTTAACTCCAAATCCATTTTCATAACAATATCTAACATTACTTGTTCTAAAAACATTACCTATCTCTGAAGATTTTTGAAAGTATTCAAAAGCTTTATGCAAGTCCTTTTCAACTTTATTACTATACCAGTATTGTTTGTCCTTGTCATTAAATTCTTCACCAGTTTGGTTTATAATTAAAATAAGATGAAAAGATATTACTTAGTGCTAAAAATTAATATGTTGTGCATAGCTTTATTTAATTATATGTATATTAAATGTTAAACAATTTTTCATAAAAGCAATTTTAATTACTTTATTAGAAATCTACAAATGAATATTTGTGTTTATAATTGCTGATCTTATGATAATTAAATTTATAAAAAAATTATTATGATTGCTTTTTATTTACTAAACACTTTACAATATAACTTTAAAAATATCTGGTTGGATCTAAATGATTCTAATAATTCTGAGTTAAATCCAAATGATCCTAAGTTGAATTTAAATTATTCTGAATTGGATTTAAATAATTTTGAATTAGATTTAAATAATTCTGAGTTGGATTTAAATGATTCTAGTTTGGATATAAATTAGATTTAAGTAAACCCAAGTTGAATCCAGATTGGTCTTGGGTTTAATTCAAGAAAGTACATTTCAAGTTGGTTTAAGAAATTCCAAGTTTGATTCTAGAGAACACAGGTTAGACCTAAGTAAACCCAAGTTAGATTCAAGTAAACCTAGGTTAGATTCAATCAAATCCAAGTTGGATTCAAGCAAATCTAAATTGAATCAAAGTAAATCTGAACCTAAGATCTAGATTAACCAAGATTTAATCAAAGGCAATGCTCAGATCTGAGACCTAGTTTAGAACTATAATTATGTATCAACTCAGCTGATTTAAGGATATATATATTTAAATTTTGGATTTTAAAACAAGTTCTATATTGAACATAAATTGAAAATTTTTGAATAAGGTTTAATTCAAAAAATAGATTTTTTGATATTGTATTTTTTTTATATAAATTTATTCAAAAGTTTTAACATGCCAAAGCATTTGGGCAAAATGTACAACTTTGGTTATAAATACATATACCATGAGCAGAGTTTGTACAACATAAAATGTAAAGTTGGTTGTTCTAATTTTGTGACTTTGTTTTGTGATTTCTAAATTTTTACCGACATTAGTAGCTCACCCATGAATTTTTCTGGCACGTGATTTTTGGCCAATTAGATCAAAAGAGCAGGTGTAACATAATTGAATTAAGTGAAAGATTTTAAAGTAATACTGTAATAAGCATCATCTTTAGAGTTAAAATTAAGGATAAGAAAGGTCATAGCTTATACTAAAATTTCATAAATAATTTTTTTTATTAGAATACAGAAAGCTGATCCTTCAATCTAATTGGACATGGTCATGTGTCAGAAAAATCCCAGAAAGGCAAAAAATTCAAAATTGATATGCCTGCGGTTACATTTTTGATAGATCTACAAATGTACCCTAAATCGGTTTACATTTTTGATGTATTTTAGTAATCTGCATAAAAGATCTGTGATTTTATTGGTTAATTAATTAATTGTGATTTTATTACAATAAATTTATACATAATGAATATATTGTATATAATAATTTTATACTATTCAATTTTCCTGTTTAAGAAGAATCGAATAAAAGAGAAATATCTTCAATTTGTCAATTGTGATTAAGGATGGCTATTACAAAAAATTTTAAGACTTAATGCAATTTTTATAATTAAGACTGCATAATGCTATTTATATTTAATTATGTAGGCTAGTTAATAAGAAGTAATAAGCATAATTATGAACATAAATAGTTCTTATGTTTTGGGTGTTAGTATAGTATACTGTATTTGAAACTTGTATCAACATTGCACTAAAAAGTTTTTAAACAAATATGAGTAAAATATTTTAGCACCCTTAAGCATAATGCCCGCAAGCTATACAGGCTGCATGGTATATATATAGTAGATTCAAAAAGTTCTCAATTTATCATTCTTAATAATGATATATTTGATTTGTCATATTTTTCTATTATTGCTATTACTTTAATTCAAATTTGTTAACAAGCATTTTTATTCAAGATTAGATTTACATACTGATATTGCATTTTAATATAAGCTTTAACATATTATGCATTGTAAATTAAAGCATTGTTGTTTTATACTGTATATTGATATAACACCATACATTCAATGTTTAAAAATATTTAATACATGCTGGCATGCAATATTAAATTTTTCTATATATTCTTGAGAGTTGTCTTTCGCAAGCTGGTCAGTTTCAATTATTATATGATTCTCAATATTAGGTATGACAACTTGTGATAAATTAGTGGATGGTTGCTGCTCAAAAGTCTCTGCAGAAATTTTAGATTTTTTAAAACACAGTTGGTCATTTTCTTTTTGTTTTCCCTATAAAAAAGAAAACCTTTTTAGTATAAATTTAAAACAAACGAGTTATATTGAATTTTCATTTACCTTTAATCCATGCTTAGCCTTTCTAATATTCATCATTCTTTGCTTTTGTTCTGAAGAAGAAATTTCATTATTTATATTATCAGAAACTACATGTAATATGTAGCTAGATTTATATGGTTTTGCCGATAATTTTGAAGGTGCTCCATTATTGATTGATTGATGGCTTAACTCCACTAGTCAAAATGGATCATTAGAAATGCTTGAACTACTTTTTGGATAAAAGATACATGCTTCTAAAATAGTAGTAAAGACAAATTAATTTCTATTTATAATATTTGTAATATCATAATGATGAAATATTATACCTTCAGAATTAAATAAATAAATAATTTCTTGATATGCATCCTTCATAAAACTATAATAAATCAAATTATTTTTTGATTCACTGAAATAATTCTTTCTTTATTTTTAAAATAATTTACTAATTTTTCTTTGGTCTTTTGTATAATATTAGGATGATTCCCTTGTAAAAAAATTTGCACAGCATGACAATGCTTACAAAAATCATAAAATGGACTATTCCACACATAATCTAATTATAATGAACATTCACTAGTAACTATATTCACAATATAAAAACCATCTCAAAGTTCGATTTCATATTTTTTAGCTAATTGTTTGATTATCAGCTGAAAATAAGTGATATAATCCTTCAATTCAATAAATTCATCATTCTCAAAATAATTGACTATTGTATTTGATTCATTTGGCTTTTTAATGTAATAGTAATTTGGATGGCCAGATGGTTCGACTAAACCTATAAGAAAATAAAGCCTTTCATAATTCAAATATCAATTTATAGAAGACATTATTTTAATAGGTTCATGTTGCTATAATTAAACTTACATTAATAACTATTATAATAGCTTGAAAGATAAGTAGATATTTATTTATTTACCTGCTTAATTGATTGTGCATTAAAAAGTGTGACTAATCCAGCTTCATAAACATTTTTATTGGTTTCTTCAGAATGAAGATTTTCATGTAACAACTTTATTCTATAAAGTCATTCAATAAATATAACAACCATTTGCTTCTTAGTTAACTGTGATTCAATCGAACAATTCATTCTTTCAGTATAATTGTTGGTAGTCATTGGATTTTGTGAATTAAAATTGTTAGGAAGATGACCGGCATCTATAAATTGCATCTACCATTCATTACACATCAAATTGTTATCCAGATCTTTAATAAGTAATGACTTTTGATTTTGAGAAAGTAAAAGAGAATTGCTAAAATTCTTGTAATGAGAAGCTATTTCAAATGCATCTTCCTCAATACAGCAACAGCCCACAAATTTGAACCCCAACACAATTTGGTACCTTAAAAAAATATAAATATTTATGTTAAAAATTTAAACATATATATACAATACATTACAATAAAACTTATAAAACTAATCTAAGTGAATGTGGAATATTTCACTGTTTTAAGTTTTCTTCAAACATTTGCATAATTTGAAACCAACAAAGTATGGTTCTATGAACAATGCCTTTTATGCCCAATTTAGTCACCTTATGTTTATTTATCATTGCAATCAGATTCCATGGCAGATTATTTGTACAATCATAAATTCTTTAAAACCTCTTTTTACTTGGAAGATCTTCATAATGCCATGAATGTTTACATGTAGGATCAGTACATGGTATATTTTTTTTAACAGCTGTTACAGCTAAGCATATTGTCCAATTATTTTTCTTGTTACTTAAACCTAGTTATATTTAAAATAAACATTAGTAATCAATAGTTAATACTTATAAATTAGAGAAAAATATACATATTGACATACCAAAAGCCAATGAAGTTCCATGTCTACTACTATTTTTGACAACCATTGTTAACACAGGAGCATGATCAATATTAAGGTCATATTTACCAACAATTCTAAAATAGTACTGTTCAAATTTTCGACCATTTTGTAACCAGAACTTATTCGATATAGTTAATTGATAATAGTGCCCTAGAGAATCCTCAGGTTTTAACAAATCTGGTTGCTGATAATATAGAATATATCCTTTTGACTTTAAATCCTCCTCAATTAGATAGTAAAATATTGTCTATGAACCTGTATTATACTTTAAACATCTATCTTTATGAGTAATTAAACATTTTAACTTTGTATTGCTGCAAATTTTTCAACTATTTGACAATACATTGTTCAGTTCTTCTTCATTAGTGCCATTGAATGAAGCCAATAACTTTCCCTTGATTCCTTTGATTGTTTGATGATCTGCATGACAACTAATTATTCTTGAAATTTTTAGAACATTGGCATTTATTATATTAGAGAGAAGGTGTGTACCTTCTATTTTAATACTAAGTGAATGACTTGAAGTAAGATAAGATAATCATGAAAATGAATAAATGCAAACAGAACAACAGTGTATGTTATTTCCATTTCTCAAATTGTTATATAGACTATAATTTAAACAACTAGATAAACATTTTCCAATCCCACCACACTTATGTTGGCAATTATTTCCATCACCGAAACAAAACATAATCCACGACCAACACAATTTGTCTTTTTTAATTTCATTTTGAATTTCATTTACATATTCATGCTCTTTGGTCATAAGCTTTATAACATCATCAATATGGTTAGTTGATTTTTTTGTTCCAGCAGCTTCTTATTCAATAAAATTGACCACTCCCTCAACTCGACAAAGTGAAATTAAACCTTGATTTATTAGTTGTGATGTTTGCAAACGGCTTTGTGACTTTAAGCGAGTGTTTTTTAAAAGAGGATAATGTAATATATATGATTCGACTACACGTCCAAAAGGAATAAAAACTGTATTATCATTATTAACAATTATCTGATCTTCTAGATTTTCCATTACTTTTTTTTTGGTTAATGTACAACAATATGAATTTATTACATTTTGTCAGTTGACATATGAAGGTATAAATTTGTCAAAAGTAATTATATAAGTAATCGTATAACTGCAATCATACAATGTACATTATTAAAAATATTATATCAATTTTTTGCTTAGTTCAACATCATTTGGAAAAAAAAAATCACTTTTTTTGTTTTTATTTATATACAAACTGATCGATCAGCAAATAAACTTTGGTATACTATGCAAGATAATCGGAATAATGAAACATTTCTTGTATAGTAAAAAAAAAAGTGTATTATATATCACCTCTATTAATAAATAATATTATAAAAATTATTTGTCACACTGGCTACCATGCATATTTGTCACTGGTCATCATAGAACTAAAATGCATCAAGAATGTAATTTGATTTAGGGTACATTTGTAGATCTATCAAAAATGTAACCGCAGGCATATCAATTTTGAATCTTTTGCCTCAGAAAGTCTACGGACACATACCAGTCACATGACTCTAACCTATAGACACGTACCAATCACCGATCGGTACGTACGATTTCATGTAACTTGTACGTATCTATAGACTTTCGCAAAAATCTTGTGGTTGAATAAAGCATTTTGTCTATTGACACATGATAAGAAAAAAAATGTGAATTAGATGTTTGTGATCAGATAATTATCCAATCTAGATTATTAAATAATGTTAATTTCTCTATTTATTATCTTGGCTTTTAATCTCATCATATATTTATTAAATTATTGTTCACTGTTCTGACTATATCATGTGGAGCAAAGTGGTTAGTTCTGAGACGTCTGCATATTTTCATATATTTTTAAGAAAATTAAATACAATGTTTAGTAACTTATACAAATATTGTTTCAAAAAAAAAAGAGGCTCAGTCTTAATCCTATTGGATAAATTATAATAATTCTTAAATTAATTAAAATTGTACTACTGCTACAGTTAAAACTAGAGATGAGAAAATTGAGGTTTTTTTGAATCTATTGTGAAAGTTGCGCAGCCTGCATAGTGTCACAGGTTTAATGGATGAGTTCAGAGATGAAGCAAATGTGACGAATTGTTGCTAGAAAAACTGTTATGCTGCATAACATTCCTCAAAGATAATAGAGGCAGTTTTATGATTTGGCACAAGGTCAAGATGATCGAAGAGAAGCGTTACAAGATAAGTATTTCAGATTTAAAAGAATATTATTGTATTTTATAGGTCAAAGGGCTTTTATTAATTTTTATTAATGTTTTGTATGGGCAGTACAATTGTGTTATTATGGGCTTGAATTCTGAACTACTCTGAACTATACTGGACTTTTTTGAACTACTCTGGACTATGCTGGACTTTTTTGAACTACTCTGGACTGTCCTTTTGGGAGGGGGAAATTCCACCCTTTTTATAATGAATTGAACGAGAGAAGAGCCCATGCAAGACCATGACTCTTCTTATTATTAGTAACACTTCCCAACCTTATTTGTTATAACCTTTAACCCCTTCCACACAGCCTCTCATTACTTTAACATTTCTCACGGCTTCGATGTGAAATATTTCAGTTACATAATCCCAGGGCCAGAACCCATCGTATTGTCTTCAATCGCACCCCCTTGACATCGCCTCACATCTAACCCAAGTAAGGCAAGTGGAGTCAATGTCCATTCCCAGTGCAACAGGTTGGTCTAGGTCGATCTTACTTTAATTGGAGAGGTGATTAGGTCCCACATGGAGGCTTGTGTACTTTCATATGGCATCTTTTGGGGTCGGGTGCACATGTTTCAGATGGATCGTCATGGGCAACTCTAATTAGGTAAGTATGCCACAATGACGTCCAGTTCACAGGTTCCATGAGGTGTCGATTTTACCTCTGATATTTCTTCCCATTTCAATTTTTCACGTCCTGTGAAAAAGGTTTACAGAGGTCGAGATCGTAGGGCATCCCTTGTAATTCGGTTGGTGATTCGGGAGTTCAATATACAACCTACTCAAAAAGAAAAAGATATTATATATATATATATATATATTTTTTTTTTTTTTTTTTTTACAACAAACAAAAAAATAAGTTTGATTGTTATTTGTTTTCTAAAAAGGAATTCTACCGGGATCAAATACTAAGGTGTCATTCCACTGCAGTGTGTACAGAATGGTTTTTTCATTCGATTCTTCTTGGTAGTTCGACCTTTATCCCACTTTACTAATCCTATCTTCCCCTTATCTTTATTAGGCCAAGAATTCCGTATCGGAACCTTCCACGACGTATATGTTAGGGTGGCTTCTTTCTTTGGTTTTAACTTTTGGGCAAACTGTCCAGTTGCATTACCATTGGCTGCCCATTCTAAACTTTTTTCACTGACCCTATCCTTGTAAGGATCGTCATACTTGACGAAGTACGGTTTTTTTATCACTAGAATGTCATCTTGGAGCAACTGCTTGAATTCATTGACCCTTCTATTCCAATCTACACATACTTTGTCCAAGTTTTCCAATGGGATTCGGCGACAATTTTGCACAGCAGGAAATCCATATCCACCGGGTGCGATTATTCCATCAGGATCATCTATATCTGCAGGCTTTTGATAGTAAGAGAATGCCTTCGTTTCATCTTTTTTGACTTCAATACCACCGATGTTATACGTTCCTTTGGCATGTTCCATATCTGCAGATTTTTTATAATAAACGAACGCCTTATGTTCATCCTTTTGAATTCCAATTCCATTTGGATAACAACAGCCAACATTATACGCACTATTAGCGTTACCCATATCAGCCGGTTTTTGATAATAAATGACGGCCTTTTGTTCATCCTTTTCGACACCCATTCCATATCGATGGCAGTGTCCAGAATTATACATGTCAACAGGGGAGCCAAACTCACATAGTTCCAGGTGGCTATCACAGGGCTTATATTTGTCTTTTTTGGCTATACTTTCAGAGGGCTTTTTATTTGGGTCATTGATTTCCTTTTCAACTTCAATTACATGTTTGTAACAAGAACTGAAATTAAAGTTTCCTTCAGCATGATCCATGTCGGTGGGTTTTTTATAATATTCAAACACTTTTCGTTCGTCTTTTTCAACTTCAGCTTGTTTATTTTTTCCGACTCCAATCCCTTTGCCTTCATCTTTTTCAATACTAGTTCCATTTTGCTTTACTTCCAGGGCCAGGTAGAGATCAAGTATCTCGTCAATTGAGTCCTTCTGGTGACAAGACGGCATTGAGAGAGCTTCCGAGCTTGGTATTACCTAAGGCACAGGTGATGGTCCTTCTTTTTCTGCAGGTGGAACCGATGGGGTATATGATGGCAGGTATGGAACCTTTTCTTCTTCATCGTTATCATCCAGGAGCACATGCTCTAGTATTTCTAAAAAATGTTCCAGGGCTTGTGGGTCAAAAAAGCTACAGTCTCTTATGGTTTTGTCGACCAGTTTACGGACTTTCATGGTTTGTTCCAGGGTAAGTGCATCCACTATCTCTAAGATGTCTAGCTGCTTTTCTCTGAATTTCGGGCAATTACTAATATCGTAGTCTTTTTTTTGGCAATATGTGCAGACTTTTCGTAGGGGGCTTCATCTGGTTGATTTGTGATTCCATGGAACTTGCATGTCGTTCGGGTTTCACCTTTTCTTCTGTTTTGGTGAAATGTCGGTAGTGGATAAATATCGTACATTTTTTTTTTTTTTTTTTTTATATGACTATTAATTTAGTAGAAGTTAAATCAAGATCTATCTCAAGATTTTATTTATACGAATTTTGAAGTTTAATTGTCGATCTAATTTAAACTTCCAAAATGTCGTAATAGTTATGCAAGATCACTTTTAAGTAGTATATTATATTTATTATTATTTATTTATTTATTTATTTATTTTATTATTATCGTTCCCTTTTCTTGAATATGGCAGCTTCTTGGAGGTTCGGTTTATCGGATAAGTATTGTTTCTTATTCCTTCTTTGGTAGTGCTCTTTTCTTGGCGTTGTACTAACTGCTTTTTTTTTTTTTTTTTTTTTTGTTTAGGTTACTAACAACCAATTTTGAACTTGTCAACAAGTCGAGCCTTAAGAGAGTGGATGGAATACAACATGTAACGAAGGTGACAACAAAACTATGTATGGACTCAGTTTGTTGGTCCACAAAATTCAACATACAAAATCAAACGGACACAGTTCGTCAGTCCAGTGCATAAAACAACAAATAAAAAAAACTCAATCAATTTCATATTGGGGGGGGGTAGTTAACATCATTTCCATTTCTCTTCAACTAGGAACGGCTGGAAGTTGTCGTATCTCGCAGTCTTGGGGCTTCACAGTCTGGCTGTTTGAGAATGTTCAATCTCACAATCACCACCAATTATTGTGACAGGTTTAATGGACGAGTTCAGAGATGGGGCAAATGCGACAGATTATTGCTTGAAAAATGGTTATGCCGTGTAACGTTCCTCAAAGATATTAGAGGCGGTTTAACGATTTGGCACAAGGTCAAGGCGATCATTTAAGGAGCGTTACAAGATAAGTACTACGATTTTAAAGAGTGTTATTGTATTGGCGGTTCAAAGGGGTCTTTAATAACTT